GTGGACCGGATTGACATTCTCGACGGCGACAACGGTTGGGGTGTGACATTTTTATTAGAGGCCATTAATGAATGTAAAAGAAAGAAAGATGATTTTCACCTGAAGTTAGCAAGATGTTTTGGTTACAATATGACTAAAAGAATGCTCAATTTCAAGAGAAGGTCCTTAAGTAAAGAATTGACAATAATTCTATCCGAGGCAATCAAAGTCAACAAAACCTTGACCTATTTGGGTTTGTGTTCTAATCGCATCGGTGATGCCGATGCAACATCTATTGCTGAGGCAATCAAAGTCAACAAGACTCTGACCAGTTTGAATTTGTCTCACAATCAGATTAGTGATTCCGGTGCAACATCTATTGCTGAGGCAATCAAAGTCAACAAGACTCTGACCGATTTGAATTTGATTAAGAATCGCATTAGTGATGCAGGTGCTACATCTATTGCTGAGGCAATTAAAGTTAACAAGGCTCTGACAAAAATTAAACTTGGCCAAGTATCGGCTTAGTGATGCAGGTACTACATCGAATGCTAAGGCAATCAAAGGTAATAAGACTCTGACTGCTATTAATCGCTCTGTTTGAACAGTATTTCAAATAGATATCTTAAGGATACGATAGTCCTTCACAAAAGATTTCAACGCGCTAAATGAGGTGTCAGTAATATGAAGTGTATATGAATGAAAAGTTTGGGAATGCACTACCTTTGTGTTGGCGATCATCACGGGGGATCACTCTCGTAAACTGAAGTCCCCGCTTTCTTTTCTTAGGCTCGTATCCAGTAAGTCCTCGGGCCAAAGTTTAAAGCAATCAGTGAAGTTTTCATAAAAAGTTGATAGATTTGCGTAAAAACAAGGGAGGATATTTTTGCTCGTGTTATGCGAACATTGTACGCATTTTGTTGACTGCAAGTTATGTTCACACGCCAAAAATTGGAAATGCCTCCCCCTCCCCACTTGACTGGGAGTGAGATAGCAGTCAGTCTTTTAAAGTGCCCCTTTTTTTCTCCTGTTGTTGACGACTAGTCCATCTCTGTACCCCTTGAAAGCCATGTGACCCCCTAAAAGTTGACGAATCGCTTTTCCTCAAGCGATGGATAATAACTGATCGCCAAAACTGGAATGTCTCACTTGGACTTTCTGAAGAAAGGAGACTGGGAAAGAAGGAAATGTGAGTGCGAAGAAATAAAAGGAAAATATATTGAGAATCGAAAAATGCTTACCCAGGAGTTAAGCTGTTCACCTCCCCCACACTCCTACCCTCTTTGAAGAAACACAGTGAAGAAACCCGTCTTGGAAAGCCAGCTAGATTAAATCTTAATTCTAATTAAAACTCTTTCTTACAATTAACACATTTCAAAACTATCACTGGCTCGGACAAATTTGAATAGCCCCTTTTCTTGTTAACCTCATAACTGTAACGCCATCCTCGTCGTTTAGTTTGCGTTACGCTTCACGTGATGCTATTATCTTCATAAGGGACTTTTTTTTTAGCTCCTTGTGTAGCAGAATGGTAGAAGCAAGAGTTTTTCATTTAGAACTCCAAATTACCTAACAGTTTTTGACGGTCTTTTAAGGTTGTAGGTCTTGATGAGACTTTTCGAATCTCTGGTACAGTTTTATTGCCATTGTTGTACGTCGCTCTCCAATAAACGGACTTTACAAGGTAGACTGTGTCAGACGTATGGTTTCTTTAATAATAGTTTTCTTGCACCCTTTTCCTCCTTGAAAGGCGGTCGCCACACAAACGTCAGTGTGCATATTCTCATATTCATCTCCATAAATTTTCTACATTCCTGATTATGACATTTTGTTTAACTATCAAGGACTACTTTAATTAGTGATCATTAATTTCCTTTATTCGCCATACCTCAAAGTTTGATTCAGCGGGCGATATTGTAAGGAAAAAGTAGATGCTTTCTACAATGAGGAGTCTAAGAATTTAACCCAAGTAGGTGGTGCAAACCAGAAGCTACTCAGAGTACGACTCTTCTGCTCACAAACATATCAGAATTGAGCTAATCCAACAAGAAAATTAGGCTTAATTGCCTTGTGTTTCCAATTGACACTGGATTTATATGCTCATCGAAGACGATTTATAACATAACCAAAGCAAAGCGCGCGCTCTGATTGGTCAATTTAGCGTCCCCCATTTGCCCATGGGTGTACGCTGCTGACGTGAGCAAATGCAAAGACTATTTTTCCGCGCGCGCTTGTTTTTTGTGGCCGCGTAAGATTTGTTAAATAAAAGGGAATTCTTTAGCTACAATGTATCAATGTTATGTTATAAAACAAATGGTAAACACCACAGCGTACACTATTGAGTTATGGATGCACTTGGGAGGTTTGCTAAGCACTCAAGAAGCTAGAGTCGCTCTCGGCTATCGCCTCGAGCGACTCTTACGCTTCTTTCGTGCTTAGCAACCTCCCGCGTGCATCCATAACTCAATAGTGTACGCTGTGGTGTTTACCATTTGTTAATTAGAGTAACAGTTTATCAAATGCAGAAAAACCATGAACACCCTATATATCTATAAAATATAATTTTGTTTCAAGAAAAAGGCCGGTTTGGCCTGGGGTAAATAATCCACCATTTTCCCACTAAATAAACAAGGAAATAAAATTCATAACTTCTGTAACTTGAAAATGAGGCAGGTCCTTCTGCACTAGTTGAGAAAGAGTTGCATCCTTAATAGTTACTTGTGAATGGGTAGTCATCATGCAGTTTATTAGTATGATGACAAAAATTTCCATTCTCCAAAGATTAGATTGAAGCTAATAACAACTCGTGTAACATCTGAGCTCTCCAGATCAGAGTGAGTGTCTATTCTGTATGGGTCAGTGCTCAAAAGAAACAAGCAACCAAGCAAATTCCATCGAATGTACCAAAAAAGTTGAACTTTAGCATAAGAAAACTGGGAAACAACTTTCTTATCACCTGCTTGTAGTTAATTATTTTTTGCAAGAAAACAATAGATGATAAATAGCGGTTCAACTGCGATGATCATGGCTTTAGTTGATTTTCTCGGCAAGTCAAATAGAACTGATTTCTAAAAAAGAAAACTATAATCACATTCCTGAACATGTTTAGGAAAGAGTAAATCTCTAAAATTGCTCTTAGCCCCCAAGGCGTGACCTCAGTAAATGGGGGATATGGGTTCGCATTTCATCGAAGCCTTTTTCGAAGACTTGTATTAGAGGAAATAGTGCTCTGAGCATAAAGGCTACAACACCATCAGAACTGATTTTGAGTGAGGGACATAGATACTTCTTCTAAACCAATCAATTGCTGTGTGCATAAGTCTTGAATAAGGTCTGCTGCACCCACCCATTACAATTGCCCCATTTTATGACGATATAGACACCTCTATTTCAGCAAGGGCCAGGTTTCCTCATGAAATTTTTCTGTATTTTCTTTTTCCACAGTCATTATTTATAAGTAATTTAAGATCAAGGTGCAAAATTCTTGTAATAATGTTCGTTACTTAACTTCAGCCACTTTCAATATTTCTAGGTTTTGTTTGCGAGTTTTTCAAGTATTTAGTTTTCTTGGTGCTACTCTTCTCTTCCTTATAAGTGTTCGTTTCAGTGTAAATTTTGCTTTATCATTTCTTTGTTAAGCTGATGTATTCTTCTTAGCTTTTTTCTTCTTTATTCGCGCTTTTTCTGTCGAGCTTTTGCAACTGAAAAAATCTATACATTTTGCAATCAGGTACAAAATATTTCAGTCTTCGTAGAAAGTTTGGTTTTTGTGGCTGCTGCTTCTTATGAAGACAAAGGCACCACGTCATCGAAATGTAAGTGTGACTGAATGTAAGAATAGTATGCCAAACTTCACCCGATATTGACCCCGATGTTACTTAGTCTCTTATTCAGAGTATCTTCGTGGTTCAACATTCTGGCAGCGCAATGCGATGGGCAAGTTGTAGCTCTTGTCAAAAGCGTAACAAACCAAGTCGCGGTAACGGTTGTGACACGATAGTTGTGTTGGATGTCATTAGCGGTTGCAAAAGAGTAAAAGATACTTTTCATTTACGGTCGGAAAAATCTTTTGGATGTGGTTTGAATCTAGCTAATTTGAATTTGTCCTCCAATGTCATTAATGGTACCCGTGGCACATTTATTGCTAGTAAAAGAATAGAATGGTAAGAGAATAGAATACGTGTATAAGGTAATGATTAAGAAACTAACGAAAATTATCTTAAAATAAAATTTTCAATTAAGAGAAGAGGAACGAATCGCTTCTGAGAAAAAAGGAAGCTCTATGATCCACAATGAAATTTAAAGTTCTCAGGTATTGAAATTATTGCGACGACGTGACCTGGCCGAAATGCAATGTTTACTGTAAATTATTATTCATACTCTCCGCGGGTATGGAAAAGTTAACTCTATGGTTACGTTATCAAATTCATTTGCTGTTCCTCGTGTCGTGTCTTTTATGCTGACACTGAAAATGACCCTTAGCTGTTGTGTGGTATGAATCTTGTGACAGGGAACTGAAAGTCTTACTTTGTTTTCTTGTTTGAGGAAGAAATGCTGCCTCTTAGAATACAAACATGGCGATCTGAAAGGACAAATTCTGCCGAGATGGCAAATTTTCTAACAAGTAACATCATTTGTTATATGTTATGATTTTTTGCTCTACTTTATCCATTATCATTTTCCACCACCTACCTTTCAGCGATGTTACCCAATGATGACACGCACTCTTCCGGCTAGATATTGAACGTGAGCTTTTGGCGCAGAGAAGAAGCGTAAGTTTGACAACTGACGGTAAACTACAGCAGAATATTAACCCAGAGAAAGATCTCGCCGTTTTAACGCTTACATTTAAATAATAATGAGTTAATTAATTCTTTCTTATCATGAAATCCACCGCATATAAATGAAATTTTTTGTTTTCCCTCTTGAAACGAGGCGCAATCATGCTGCAGAACTTTTTTATTTCGCCCAGTAGGTTGCTTAATCCTTTTGCTACCGCATTGTAGTGTTTACTTTCAGGCCTCCACCATCTTGGATCAGAAATGAGGTTTATCACCCGACCATTCAACATGGTGGACAATAGAAAAGGGCGCTGAAATTGTAAAGCTTGACTGCAATGTCCATTTCCCTAATAAAAAAAATTGATACCAAAGATGTTAGAGCTATTTAGAGTCACTTAAAACGAGTGTACGAACTGCCTTTTGGAAATAGCCATCAGCACAATTCGAAGCTCGAGGAGCAATCAGTTATTTGGAATAATGGTCAAGAATGTACAATTACCGTAGGATCTAGGATCGCAAATCAAGAATGAGAGATAAAGGACCCCATTTTCCTTTTTCTCATCATTGAAATTATTATTACTATAATCAATATAATCTTTAGTTCTATTTTCAGTATCCATGAAGTTTTCCTTTGTCTACATGCAGGAAGCTTACCCCCTTGCAAATATTTACAAGAGAACAATATCTTGGAAATATTCGCGGAAAAACTAAAGAATGCTCTTTTAAAATGTTTTGAATCTTTTTATATGGAAATTGCGTATGATGGTATGCATGCGTGACGTGTGGGTGCGATATGAACTGACTTACGGTATGTTGCTGCGTAGACTGGAAGCATTTCCACGTTGCGATTATACTTTTGTACACAGTGGTTCTGGTAAATGAAGGTAAACAATTTGTCCTATTTTTTTGTCGTTATCCTTTTTAAGCTGGATTTTCCTACGCTTCTAACCACACTGTGTATCTTGAGACTTTTGGTATGTGATCATCAACCAGTGACATTTAAGATTGAAACAGCCTTCAAGGACTATATATAGCACTTAGAAGGCGAAAAAGTAATATATTTGTCTTCTTTGATTTAATCAGACAAATGACCTTCAATTTGCTTTGATAATGTAAACATATGCGAATAAAATCTCCGTGCGATTAATCCTTAATTCGACCGTTCCTGTCTTGTTCTGTTGTCGACTGATCAGCAAACAGGAAACAGGTACGTTCTAAGTTTGTCATCACTTTCGAATTGAGTTGTTCAAAAAAAACTTTCAAATTTCATTTAAATCAAAGGTGACTAAGAACGTGAGATGCATTTGCGGTTTGACTGTCAACACATCTAAATTGAAATTTTTGTATTCAAATTCCCTGCACCAGTAAACATCCAACTTTGTTTAATTTCCAACCTTGTTTTTGTGTTACATTTAAAGTGAACGCAGAATTCCTTTCTTAGGACTCTCATCAGTTGAATTTTTTTTTATGCTTATTTAGGCGTCTTTATTTGAATCATTTAGAACATGAAAAGTTAGGGAAAGTATATCAGTCGGTGAGCCATGAAGGGCTTTACGCTTACTGAGCTGACCTCCTCGACTTATATTTGATAAGATCAGGAAATGTTCTCTTATATTGTCGTTGCCTTCTTCATGCTAATACGGAAAGCCCGTAATTAATTTTGTGGGGGTTACGCGAACGAAACTGAAAGTAAAACTTTGCATTTCTCAATCTTTACGTAATCCGGCTTTGCATATAGCAATCAAGAGTTACTTTTAAGTTGAAATGTTCTTCTCTTACTCCTGGTTTCTTAAAAAGAAATTTCACGGCATTCATAGTTCACGTTTGAAATTTTACGTGTGGGTAGATAACAAACCACGCATTTTGTCGGATACAAGAAAACTTTTTATCGTAAAAATGGAAAAATATAGGAAAGGCAATAACCAGCTAAAATATAGACATGGATGGCAGATGAACTACTAAACGATCCATTTTAATGTTTTCAATGTGTGAAAGTTGTGATGTTATTAAGATTTTTCGTTCAGCCTGGATGATCATGCAAAATTATCTTCGGTAGCTAATGACATGCTAGAATACCAAACACAATTCACTGACGTCATAAATATCTAGTTTTGTAAGAAAAAAATTTGCTAAGATCGGGAAAATACCAAAATTTGTGGCTTAGGTGTAAACAACATCTAGAGAACGTATTTGGGGTTGCAAACTTCAAACAACTGTAACTCTGTTTTACAAGTAATTAACCAGTTTGGCAATCTTTCCCAGGAGTCTGTTCCATCAAAGACATTGGAGAAAATTGTAATATACCAACTCCTTTTAGTGCACCGCTGTCAACATCTCTCAGTTTAATACTACTTATGCAGCTTCTCATTTTAAAAAATGATGACATCTTCTCTTTCTCAAATGCTACATCTTGAAGGAAGAAAAATTGCATAAGAGGATTTTAGACATCCAGTTTGCACACGTGACCAGTGATTCCCATTGGTTAATCTCCCTGCTTGGATTATTTATGTAATTTATTTTTCCCATATGAGCAAAGTTCTACTCCGTATGATCTTGCTATATTGTGCAAAGGAAATGATAGTTTAACAGTGATTATATTGGCACTTGTCCTTATTCGGATGAGTTACATCCAGACAAAGCTGCTGTTGGTAGTAATTGAGATGTAGTTGTGCTTGTGCTTCTGGTGCCACAAGCAGATGTAGTTAAGAGGTGGTGATGGTGGAAGTTTCTGATGAGGCAAGTTTTGTTCTGATGCTTCGAGCAATGTGTCACTAAGTTGGAGAGAAAAACCGTGTGAGAAAAGCTCTACTCCACATGATATCTTGCGATATTGTGCAAGGGAAATGCAAAATAAGACATTCGATAAACTTTTGTGCTGTTCCCATAGGAAAACAGTTCTATGATTGCTTGTGGTGATAGTTTAACACTGATTATGTTGGCACGTGTTTATTCTGAACGGTTTATATCCAGGCAAAGCTGCTGTTGGTAATAATTGAAGTAGCTGTGGTTGTACTGCTGGTAGCACAAATAGATGTAGTTTTAACTATATCTACGGGTGGCACCTCTAAAAGAGGTGGTGATGATAGGAGTTTCTGATGTGGCATGTATTTTTTCGATGCTTAGAGCGACGAGTCACTGATCTGGAGACAAAATTTCAGAGATGCATCTTTAATTCGCGCTAGTTGAATACACTTCATCCTTACTGCCTCTTTCTGACAGCCTCTTTCTCGTCTGATGAACATACTGGTAAGAGAAGCATTAATTCATGTTGCTTTATCCTAAGAAAATTTGGATAAGCTTTTTAGCATCGATTTTTAACAAGGCTGTGGGGCAAGTGACCTATACCTAGTAATTCAAGTTACCTATGAGGCTGCTTGATGTCTGGTCAGAACTTAATGAGAACACACCTGGTTCTCCTCAGGAGGTGATTAACGAAATTACATGGAATGATAAGGATATTTGTATAGACGTTCTTACACTTGATTCAAACACTTGGGAGTTTCTGGACAAAATTTTGAATTGCCTTGTTTTACAGAAGAAAAACTTTAAAGCTATGGCCCAACTACCTCCCCTAGCTACACCCTCCGTCAGCAGACAGCAGAGTCCATCAAGCATTTGCTTTTTCTTGCAAAATATCATCTTAATTCTGTAAACATGTCCTGTCCTGGCTTAAGGTGAACTGTACTAATGTTGAAAAGCTAACGTCATGTAATATAATTTTTGGTAAAGAAGATTTGACTTTTATTAATCATAACTTGTTAGTAGGGAAATACCAAATATACCCTAAAAGGTACATAACTAAAATAATCTCCCCACATTTCAAGGTTTCGATTCATTGCTCGGACCAGAACTATTTACAAAATTGAACTCTAAATTGCCTGGGAGAAGTAAAAAGTTGTAAAAGCATTTTACAAGATGAGAAAACTACTTAAAGCAATGGCCTTAGACAGGTGGAGGTAGGGAAAAAAGAGACCAACAAAAAAGATGTAAAATTCAACATATGTAATTTTAGCAGCTTCGTGTCGTTCATTCTCTGTGTTGTCTTGTTAACTTAATGCAAGCTCTAAGAGGGTGAAAACAAATATATTTTTTTTATCTTAAGGAAGGGAAGAGTTTGGACTTTGTATATCTTGAAGAGGTTTACAAAGTCCAAATCTTTTAAAACTTTGTGTTGGAAATCGAATTCTTTGGCGTCCCTTGCAGTTACGGAACAGCTACATTTTGTAAGGTACTGATATTGGCTGCAGCAGAACAAAACAGGTCAAAGTGCATCAGATCTAAAGAAATGCTAATTTGACACGAATAACTTACTTAATAGGCCATTCTGTAAAGGTCAAATTCATGGCTGCAGTTCCGCTGCCATTTGCTTCAACAAAAGAAACAACCAACTATGCCAGGCTGTGCCGTTTGATGGTGGATGTGGGATCACAGGTGCTGAGATCCACTTTTGACAAAATACATCCACCAGCGACTCTACCCGCAGTTTTGGGTAAAGCCTCTGTGCACTACGCCACTTTGCAGTCATTGTACAAAGGGAAGAAGAAGGTGCTGAATCCCACTCAATGGGGTAAGCTGTATCCTGCTCATTCACCTGTGTCATCAGCAACCTTTGAAATCACACTCCTAACAGTGCTGCTCAGAAATATCTGTGGCTTGAGCCCCCCTGCCACAGGATGGGATCATCTTCCCCCAGCTGCAAACACAAGCATCGCAGATGACATCGCTAGAATAAAGTATTACAGGAACACTGTATACGGCCATGCCTCTCAAGCCTCTGTAGATGACATCAGTTTCAATTCTTACTGGCAGGAAATACGAGAAGCTTTGGTGAGGCTGGGAGGAGCTCATTTCCGAGTTGATATCGACAATCTTGAGCGTGACTGCATGGATCCGGATATCGAAGAGCACTATCGTGAACTGATGAAACAATGGAAGAAAGACGACGACAGCATCAAGAGCAAACTTGTAGAATTTGAAGGTAAGGAGAACATTATGCATAGCTGTAGAAAATCTATCTTCATGTAGTTTACACATATTTGGTTAGCCTGACAATACACAGTAAAGGTGTGAACCATGAAAAAGAGTGGAAATTTATTTTTGTCATGCGTACATTTGTAAAATAGCCTGCAGAACAGGCGTAATTTTTCTGCGTTTATTCGCCCGGATGACGCAGACAACTACTCAGGCTCCGCAAGCTAGTGTAGAATGATGGAATTATACAAAAAAGTTCGTGGTAAAGATTTTGTTTATGATCTTAATGAAAAAGAGCAAAAGAAAAAAAGTTAGCAAGAAAATAGCGACAAAAAAACAACAACGGCAATAATTCCAACAATGAAGAGAACAAAAAAAGTATTGATATATCAAGAACTAGTTTTGATAACAGAAAGAAAGACTTTCTATCTTTGTTAGTCAGCCTTGGTGCTTATTTGGAAATTCCAGTTTTTTCGGTTAGTTTCCACGTAAACAAGCAACTTGTTCAGGCAAATACTACAAAATTATGCGAGCTACAAACTTGCATACTAACTCACCAGGTTGTAGATGGATACAAAATTGACTTTCTCTCAATTAAATTGGACTTAGTTTCTCCAATCTTTGAGAAGTGAATAGCAATATAGAGGACAGAGATCCAGTTTGCATTCTGAAAATCTGTCGACAACAAGACAGGGACCGATGACATGGCGTACACTTTTTTTTTTTTAATTTCAGGGATCATGCAAGACTCCGTAGAAAAAATAAAGAGTGAATTAAAAGACGTAAAAGATAAGCTGGATTTACTGACTGCCTCGGCTGAAAAAAACAAAGATGAAGGTTAGTCTTTCGAAACGACCATATGGACAAATACATCCAATAATATAACAAGGCGGTTCTTCTTAGTACATTGTTGATTCCAGGTAAAGAATACAAGGATGAAGATTAGTTGCATTTTGCAACAACTTGCAAAATGACCCATGTATGTTAATCAGATATTATACCGAGTCAACATGTCCTGCGTGTAAAAAAGAGAATATTTCATCCTAACGAGTTTCAGTTTGTTAGTTTAATTAATTTAATTTTCTAGAATATACTTTGCAGTTTATTTTAGCTCCCCTCAATTTATCATGTGTAGTGGGCAGGATCACGATGCCATCGCTATTCAAATTAAATCTGTATCTCAGTATATTCTAGATACAAAATAAATACCACGATTTTTAAGGCTTCGTTCTTTAGATTTGTTAATCATTTTGCCATTTTAAGGTTATTTTGATCCAACTGAACTTATCAACGGGATTCGCCAACTATACAAGACTCGCGAGGGATGGCTTTCACCATTTCCATGGTGTGAAGAGTTTCAGTTTTTTGTGAGTGATATTTTTACAAGGCTCAAAGTTGTCAGAAGAAAGAAAACGAGAGGAAATGTTACTAACAAGATCATTACCATGTCGTCTCTCTTGAAAACGTACGAAGAGTGTTCAGAGCCGAGAACAGTGCTAATCGAAGGAAAACCTGGTATGGGTAAAACTACTTACTGTAAAAAGTTTGTTTACGACTGGGCTACAAAAAAACAGAACCCCCACGATTGCGTCTTAAACATGAAAGTAGTTTTGTTCCTTAAATGTCGTGATGTCAAGTCCGATATTTGGGAAGCCATTGATGATCAGCTCCTGCCCCGAGATATCGACGACAACGCTAAAGAGCAATTTTTCCAATTTATTCGTGCCAACCAATCCAGAATTTTAATGATATTAGATGGATTGGATGAATTACCTTCCAGTAAAGTGCCGGTTATTTCAGAATTAATTGTGGGAAGAGTGCTTCCAAAGTGTTACATTGTAGCTACAGCACGACACGAAGTTGGAAGAAAGGTAAGAAAATGCTGTGACACTTTGCTTGAGGTCGAAGGATTTACAGAAGCACAAGCCAGAAAATTTATCGCAAAGTACTTTAAGGAAAAGTCGGAATTAGCTGAAAACCTCTCGGCACGAATATCCCGCGATAAAAACATTAAAGAAATGTGTGCAAATCCTTTGAACACGGCACTGCTTTGCCTTTTGTGTGAAGAATTCGCTGGTACGCTTGCGGAAAATAGAACTAAGCTCTATTTGAATATGATTGAATGTGTCTTGAGAAGATATAGGAAAAAGGCAAAACTAACTGATACAGAAGAAGATCTTACAAACCTTTACAAGTTGCATTTGAGAACCCTTGGATTGATAGCGTTGAATGGTTTGATTGAAGACAAGTTGGATTTTGAGGAGAAGGAATTAGGAAAGCATGCAAGTGAACTGGCTGCATTTGGATTTCTGTCAGTTCATCCCGGATGTAGTAAACTGAGACCGAGTCTGCGTTATGCGTTTCTACACAAAAGCTTTCAGGAATGCTTTGCAGCATTCTACATCTGTTGTGAGATTCAAGATAAACGAATAAAACCCGAAGAATTAGTTTCCAATGACAGATATTTTAGTAACCTGAAACAGGTGCTATTGTTTTCGTGCGGCATTTTAGCAGAACAGTCCAATCAAGAGGCTGCAGCTCTTGTCTCGAATATTGGAAACCGGGTTAAGAATTTCACCGAAAACTACAGTTGGGGTTTGAGAGTTGTATTGGAAGCAATCAAGGAATGTGAAAGAAAGAAAGATGACTTTCACCTACAGTTAGCGAGACGTTTTGGATCTAGCATGACCCAAAAATTTCTCAATATCCAGGGGCGTTACCTAGTTATGGACCTGACTGCAATCTTCTGTGAGGCAATCAAAGTCAACGAGAGCCTGATATACCTGGATTTATCTCGAAATGATTTTCGTGATGCCGGTGTTACATCTGTTGCTGAGGCAATCAAGGTCAACAAGACCCTGGCCAATTTGGACCTTTCTTTTAATCCTATTAATGATGCCTGTGCTAAATCTATTGCTGAGGCAATCAAAGTCAACAACACTCTGACCAAATTGAATTTGTCCTACGGTGCTATTAGCGATGACGGTGCTACCGCTATTGCTGAGGCAATCAAAGTCAACAACACTTTGACCAATTTGGGTTTGTCCGGGAATCCGATTAGTGATGCCGGTGCTACATCTATTGCTGAGGCAATCATAGTCAACAAGACTCTAACCAACTTGGATTTGTCCGGAAATCCGATTAGTGATGCCGGGGCTACATCTATTGCTGAGACAATCAAAGTCAACAAGACTCTGACCAACTTGGGTTTGTCCGGTAACCAGATTAGTGATGTCGGTGTTAAATCTATTGCAGAGGCAATCAAAGTCAACAACACTCTGACCAATTTGGGTTTGTCCGGCAATCAGATTTGTGATGCCGGTGCTAAGTCTATTGCTGAGGCAATCAAAGTCAACAACACTCTGACCAATTTGGTTTTATCTGGGAATCAGATAAGTGATGCCGGTGCTACATCCATTGCCAAGGCAATAAAATTCAATAAGACTCTGACCAATTTGGGTTTGTCCGTGAATCAGATTAGTGATGCCAGTGCTTCATCTATTGCTGATGCAGTCAAAGTCAACAAGACTCTGACCAATTTGCATTTGTCTTTCAATCCAATTAGTGACGTTGGTGCTAAATCTATTGCTGATGCAGTCAAAGTCAACAAGACTCTGACTTATTTGAGTTTGTTTGGGAATCAGATAAGTAGTGCCACTGCTTTATCAACCCGACTATAACTGATATTAACAGCATTTTTTGACAAATATTATTTTTGGTACCGGTTCTACTCTAAATGATACGTTAACGGTAGTCCCTCGCGGAAAAAGCGTTAACGCGCTATTTGCGGTGCAACCACTGTAAGCTATCATTTTAAGAAGGCTAGGATATAATGCGCGCTGTTGAAAGGGCGTGCTCTGTCGGAGTACAGAACATCGAGCTGAGTCAAAGCTGTCACGCCATCTGCAATTTTGTTCTTTGAGAAGTTCTTTTTCGTTAATTGAAAGTGAAATTTTGGAATGTGCGAGTATGCAAGTAGCAACAGAAGAAACACACGTTGAGAGTTGGTAATCGTTTTAAGGTCTCAGTTATTGAAATGCAATGCTGTACATCCTTAGGATGGGCAATTCAACATTTGGAAATTAAACCCTATTGTTATTCGCTCTGTCAAAGGGCTAACACTCGGAATGCCAGCTCAAGAAACTTTTCAAGTGGTCAGTTTACATTATCGACTTGGTTGATAAAATTGTAAGTCTAAGAATCTCCTCAAGTTGAACAATCAAACGAATTTATGTAAACACAAATGGATTCAATAAAGCTATTTATATAAAACTCCTATATGGTGAGGTTGCTCACTTATTTACATTGCATTAACCACAGGCGGCCCAGGTTTTGTCACAGGCTCTGTCACAGGTTCTTTCACAGGCTCTTTCACAGTGGATTACAATAGAGTTTGTATAGTGGTTTAGTTGGACTTGCTTTTGAGCTCCGTAAATATAAAGTTGTGTGAAATAATCAAAGAAATAAAGTCTTACCTTCATAAAAAGTAGTCTGTGCTGTTCTTGTCGCGATTTGAGGCCNGTGTGTTTTTCGAGCGATTTTGGCGAGCATGTGTGAGACAGAGCTTTCCTACCTTCCCTTTTATTTGGTAGTGCTAGGACGTTAAGCTGAAACACAGCAAAACGGCCTCAAATCGCGACAAGAACAGCACAGACTACTCTTTATGAAGGTAAGACTTTATTTCTTTGATTATTTCACACAACTTTATATTTACGGAGCTCAAAAGCAAGTCCAACTAAACCACTATGCAAACTCTATAATCCACTGTGAAAGAGCCTGTGATAGAGCCTGTGACAGAGCCTGGGCCGCCTGTGCATTAACCTGACCCTTTAAGTCCCAGAAGTGATGAATATCGAACTTTCCTCTTAAATATCCATACATTATCCAGCAAACAAATAATGAAAATACTCAAACTGTTAAGTTTCACGTCATATTTTGTTTTTACTTTTATTTGACCTATATTTAATTAAAATAGTTAGAGGTTGTTTTCTTGATCCAACATAAATCCTCATAACTGATTCACAAGGAGATGTATAGCAGCTAGAGGAGAGAATTATTGGAACAAAATGGAAATCATTTGTCGGAGTTTGGTATTGAAACAAGATCAACCAACTTTTATTTTGGGTTCTTGATCACCGACATATCAAACTACACCAAATATAATCATTGTAAAATGAAATGCAAACAGTAAGTTGACTTTGTACATAGTTGTAAACCGCCGCCTTTATTTCCCCTAAGTGACCACAACAGAATTTCTCATAATAACATCATGACCTTAATATAGACAGGTAAGTGAGGAGAATAAAGAAACGTATCACTTAGGGGATAATAAGGGATCCAATACCAAATTCTCCAAACTAATATCATGAGAACTGTATAGCAGACAGTAAGGAGAATTGCTGAGGAGATCTTCTAAGTAAAAGGGTTAATTATAAAAGCAATTTTCTAACCAAAATAGTGTCTATAATTTGTTTTGATAACTTTAACCCACATATTAAAAATTTGAAGCTGGTTAAGTCAAGCTTGTGTCAGGCTCATGGTTAGAAGAAAAAAGGGGGGGCCTTCAAATAATTGCCCGTTCTGAAATTCGAAATGGTCCTGAAAACGATTTAGGCCCCAAACGAATGCTGGGACTGTTTTGGGGATGCGGATTTAGAATGGCTGCCATACTGACCTTTGATTATCGCGAAAAAGGAAGATGAAATTTAGCTCAATGAGAACGATATTCCGGGAGCCAAATTACCAAAACCAGCCGAGCACTGCACAGTTTCATTTTTAAAACGGTGGTTGTCATGTAGAGGCGTTAAAGTTAATTGGTGGAAAAAGAAAAGATCTCGTCGCAAGGTGAGCTTTAAGTTTGAGGCGGGAAATTTAACATTTCGAATTCGTGTTCAACAATGGTTGACAATATCATTCAAAGTTTTCCCTTAACATTGCAGAAATTTTACACCAGGAAGCTCACCCTGTGATATATTCTCTCAATAAAACGCATAGTATTCTGCTATAGAGTAAATGATTATATCAGAAATGGAGTAGAGAAAGATGTTGTTGACCCCGATGGTGGAGTTAATTTGGCAACGAAAAGAAAAATATTAGGAGTCGCTGGAGTGCTCGATCCCGACTTAAATGAAAACTTCCCTTTGGGTAGATTTCAATGTGGTATTGCCCTACTACCGAAGATATCTTTCAGCCAAATTTGGAAATATTTAGTTCATTAACAGTTATAGGGTCAGAAGTTATCACTTCAGCCGAAAGCACCCTGCTTATGTCTGTTACAGCTTGAAAATCCACTGAATTTGGTTTCATTAACAATTTAAGACACGAAACAGCAAAAACTGTGTATGCCAACATTTTCATTATAATTCATCGTATTATTTGATTCAGTTTAGTTGATTGTGAGTTTGTCAGGGGTCATGCCTGATAATTTTATTTACTAGTTTAATTTGATTTAATAAGTTAATTCTGACCATGTACTTCCAAATTGCTTAGTACATATAATGATAGTTTAATCAATGATACTGGCTTAGGTGCTGCTATGTTATGTTTATAATAATAATGGAAACTTTATTTGTGTTTTGAAATGTACAATTGTAAATCTCACTACGTATGGGCAATTTACAAATGCTGCTTGAGATTGGCTTATTCAACACATGCACAAAAATCAAAATTGCATCAAATCTGGGTTGTCCCAATTCCTATTTCTACAACAAAAGACGTAATATGTTGCTCTAATAGCTACATTTATCATTTTCTTTATTATGTAAAGTTGCTGCTTTTTGGCAATGCCTATGTCATTCATCATGCCTAAGAACGTAGAACATTCATCTGAGAAAACGCCAAGGGAGCTCATGGAGAGATTTACAAACTTCACACATCTGAAAGTTCTACTCATTTCGTTAATCAAGTTCCGATATTTTCTTTTTTACNTGTCTTTATGTTACGAATTGTCGAAGGTAATGCATTCCAAAGACAAGGTGCAGCTGATTGGAAGGCACGGTCACCAAGGGTTGGATGGGTCCTGGTGCTTGATAATTCGAGTAATAAAGACTCGTTTGACCTAAGAGAGTACCTGGATCGCTTTTTGATGCTAATTAAAACAGTCAAATAGTTAGGGGCTAGACCATATAAACAGTTAAAAGTCAAAAGGAGAATCTTAAACTTTATACGGTAACTAATCCGGAGCCAATGAAGGTGGAAAAGTAATGGCGTAACATGGCAGTATTTTGGTGATCCAGTGACCAACCGAGCTGCGGCATTCTGTTTTCATTGGAGTTTCATGATATGTGAATTCGGGTGGCCATATTGTAGACTGTTACAATAATATATTCTACTGGTTATAAAAGCATGAACTAATATTAATACTAACAATTTATAGTTGTTCTAGTCATGATTTACTAATTCAAGAGGAATCCGAGACATAGACACAGAATGCTCAGGCTGATTTATAGCCAGAATAAAAATGTTATAATGACATGTCACCCGGCTCCCAAACAATTTGAGTATCTTTAACCCTGGACTGCCTTGTTATATTTAATCTATCAGGGTTTTAGGACATTTCAATTCGATAGTGTTGTTTATGTCTGACCTGTTATCTAGAGAAGGACGACACCTGAGAAGTTCAACTGTATGATCCTTAAATGCGAGCCTCCAGGAACAGGCAACATCCAAGGGCAACTATATGAGCATAAATTTTGTGCCTGGAGTCTATCATGTTTGTTATTCTTCATACATTTTTGCTATGTGCCGGAAAAAATGTTTGCAGAGTCCAAGTTTTTATAGATTCAATGAGATGTGTGTTACTTTGTTTGCTTTACTTTGATGAGTTCTCATTCATTTATGGCAGTTGAATACTCAAATTTGAGATCAACAAGGTTTGTAAACGAAGCTTATCAATACCGAAATGTAAGCGAATGTTATTCATTAGCTGTGTGGTCATTATTGGGAAATTCAAGGCAGTGGGCACAGTTTTACCTAAACTAGGCTGGTAAGTGACATTTTCATTTTTTCCCTTAAACTTAACGAAATGCTTTTCAAAAGAACCCAAATTATTGAGATCCTTCTACATTAAAAAAAAAAGCTGTACTGAACGTTGTCTACACAGGTGTAAGAACATTTGTTTTCTTTTTTATTCAGTCGAGAGATATCAATCACAAATTGCCATAGCTAGTCTAAGGCGGGTCAGTTATTATGATTGAGCCAACTAACTGAACTGTCTAAGCTAACTGCCTAAACTAAATTGGATTCAGTGTTGGGAAATACTTACAAGTAAACATCATCAATTGTTACAATTGTTTCAGTGGTTATGTAAGTATTGTTTGCCTGAGGATGCCAAACAAAATTTCACGAAGGTCCATAATACTTCACAGAGTAGAAAGTCGAGAGAGGAAAAATTAGAATGCCAAACAAAATTTCATAGAGTTTTGTTGCAAAAAACTTAATGCATGAAGGTGGATAATACTTAGTGAAGAAAGTCAACAGATGAAATATTAGGATGCCAAACAAATTTCATGAAACTTCTTGCAGGAAAAAAGTATAGAAAGTTGACAGATAAAATATTAATGTTAACAAAGAGAGAGACAGCTTGATAGTTTCTTTCAGCAAAGTATATGAAATGCAGGGCTCTTTCTTGTAGAGTAAAGATTTTGTTTAAATGTTTCTGATTGGCTTGTCCCCTGACAGAGAGAGTCCATGGGTTATAAAGGGGAGACGTAATGACTGGTAGATGTTAAAAAAAGGGTGCACTGGTACAAAGTGCCCAGGTTTGGCAGTTACATGATGAGAATTAATTCTTCAATAGAGATGGTTTTTGATCAGTACTCCAAGGTACTTAACACGATCATTGCATTCCAATGTGACTTGCCCCTTTGTACCATTGTTGAAGGTACTTATTTGAGGTTTAAGGTTAAATTTGTTTTAGTACAGGAAATACTGACTTTGCTTACAAATTGTTTCTTATTTCAATTCAAGCTCTTATATCTTTCGTCATCCTTGGTTTGGATATTTCTTTAAATTTTTGAGGTGGATATAATTCTTAATGGGGCTTGAGAATTTAACATTTTCTCAAAGGCCTTTAACTTAAGCAGATCAATGCTATATTCTTCTGGAAAACAAAAGCGCTTTCTGGTAGGTCTCCTCAAAATATTATTGAAAACGATCAAGTGGATTGTGTTGTTCAGAATTACGTGCAACAGGAAGAAGTGTCGTGCAATGTGTATAGACATGTACCTGATATATCTGTTTCCCTGTGA